GTACCGGACCGCAAACGGCCACAGAAAATGGGGGGCAGCCGCATGGATCATGGAGGTACGAGCGACCTCCATGACTAAGCCAATGATGCGCTCAGCAACCCCATTCTGCTGCGGAGAGGCCGGAAGCATGAACGTCTGGCGGATGCCGTGCTCCGCACAGTAGGCTGCCAAGAGGTCGGAGGAGAACTCACCACCTCTGTCAGAGTGCAGATGCAGGACAGGAAAGTCTGACCGGGACCGCTCGCGGAGCTGGAGACGAACAGTGCGGATCCAAGGGATCAAAACATCAGGGACGTCCCCCTTGCTCTGCAAGGGGAAGACCGTGGTGTAACGCGTGTAGTCGTCGACGACCAGCAGGAAGTACCGCTCGTGGCCCTGTCCACGGACGCGGGCTGGGCCCCACACGTCCAGGTGGAGAGTCTGCAGGGGAGCCTCTGTGGGAGGGAACGAGGAGTGAGGAGCGGCGCGCTGCCGCCCCTCGACGCAAGGAATGCAGGGCGGCGCAGGCGAGGGAGGGAGGGCAGGCAGAGACCTGGGAAGACCAGAGACCAGGGAGCGAGAGTGCATGCCACGAAGGCGAGGCAAGGAGGGGTGACCAAGGCGGTGGTGCCACAGGAGAGTGTCGTGCGACAGGCGACGACACTCACACTCAGCAGCTACCTGAGTAGACACAGATGCAGACGCAGCTACCTGAGGGGACGCAGTGGTCAGTGTGTACAGACTCGAGCCAGGCGCACGGGTAAACGTGGCCAGGTGTCGGCCCGTCCGAGCACACGTACAGTGAGTCACTCGCTGACTCGCAGGAGTGAACTGGTCAACCCCCCCATCCTGGAGGTCAGCTCCACTCACCAAGTTCGTAGAGAACGAGGGGAGGTAAAGACCTGACAGCGAGCCAGACGGGGCGGCCGGACACGGCAGAACCGTGGAGTAGTGGGCAAGGACTGGACCCCCGGAGGGGTCCGCCAGGGAGACTGGAACTGGCCGACTGAGTGGTGCAGTCGCGAAAGAAGGAGCGGGAAGCTCCTGAGTCAAGGGTGAAGGTGTGCAAGACCACAGCAGGCGCAGTACCAGAGAGAGCAGACTCACCAGCACCTAGAGCAGCAGCCTCACCAGCACCTAGAGCAGGAGATGCACTAGCACCTAGAGCAGCAGCCTCACCAGTACCGAGAGCAGCAGGCGCTATACCAGGGTCAGGCGGTACGCACAGGTAACAGGCACGGTCAACACTAGTAGGCAATGCATACATGGCAGTGAGAATAGCATCATAGTCAAGAGCAAAGATATCTACCCTCTGTCCAAGCAGCTCCGGCCAGGTAGGGAGCTCAGCCTCGTCGCCAAACACGGTACGCCAGGCGTCGCTCAGACGGGCGAAGCAGCGGGACTGTGTGTGACCAAGCGTCCCACAAGGCTGACCAGTCCTATCACCTGTGCGAATGACGTACTGGCAGCGAACTGTACGCGTAGACCTGCTACTCTGAGCGTACCACTCATGGAGCTGCTGGGACGTAAGTGTCTCGCGTGGACGCCGCTGCAGCTGCAGCTGGCCTCTGGCAGACGACCCCAACTGACTAGCTCCAGGGCGACAGCTACGACGGCTACCGCGACAGCCCCAACTAGTATACCACTCACTAAGCTGCTGGGGCGTGAGAGACTCGCGTGAACGTCGCTGGAGCTGCATCTGGCCACCTCCTAGTAGCAGTAGTAGCCGCAGCAGCTCGGGCAGGGCAGGCGCGGCAGGCAGGCAGGCAGGCAGGCCGGCAGGCAGGCAGGCAGACAGGCCGGCAGGCAGGCAGGCAGGCAGGCAGACAGGCAGGCAGACAGGCAGGCAGGCCGGCAGGTAGGCAGGCAGGCAGGCAGGCAGGCAGGCCGGCAGGCAGGCAGGCAGGCAGGCAAGCAGGCCGGCAGGCAGGCAGGCAGGCAGGCAGACAGGCCGGCAGGCAGGCAGGCTGGCAGGCAGGCAGGCAGGCAGGCAGGCAGGCAGGCTGGCAGGCAGGCAGGCAGGCAGGCCGGCAGGCAGGCCGGTAGGCAGGCAGGCAGGCAGGCAGGCCGGCAGGCAGGCAGGCAGGCAGGCAGACAGGCAAGCAGACAGGCAGGCAGGCCGGCAGGCAGGCAGGCAGGCCGGCAGGCAGGCAGGCAAGCAAGCAGGTCGGCAGGCAGGCAGACAGGCCGACAGGCAGGCAGGCAGGCAGGCTGGCAGGCAGGCAGGCAGGCAGGCAGACAGGTAGGCAGGCAGGCAGGCAGGCAGGCCGGCAGGCAGGCAGGTAGGCAGGCAGGCAGGCAGGCAGGCCGGCAGGCAGGCAGGCAGGCAGGTAGGCAGGCAGGCAGGCAGGCAGGCAGGCAGGCAGGCAGGCAGGCAGGCAGGCAGGCAGGCAGGCAGGCAGGCAGGCAGGCAGGCAGGCAGGCAGGCAGGCAGGCAGGCAGGCAGGCAGGCAGGCAAGCAGGCAGGCAGGCAGGTGCTCACCAAAGGCTGGAAGGGCAGGCGTTCGCCGGGCGAGCAGGGCCGGCGCTCGGCGGGCGGCGGCCGGGTAGGCGCACGACGGCGGCGACGGCGGGGTCGCAACAGCGGCTGCAGAGTAGGGCCGCGGCAGCTGCAGGGCGGGGCCGCATCAGCGGCAGGTCGGGGCCGCGGCAGCTGCAGGGCGGGGCCGCGGCAGCGGCAGGTCGGGGCCGCTTCCGCGGCCAGGCGGGTTTGCGTGAGCGGGGCGCGGGGCAGCAGCTGGCCGCGCGTGGGCGGCGCGGGCTCGGGGCGGGCTGCGGGAGGCAGCAGTGGGCTGCGCGGGGCAGCGCACGGGGCTGCTGCGGGCCGCGCGCGGGCCGCGCGAGGCAGTAGAGGGCTGCGCGCGGCTCGGGGCGGACTGCGCGGGCCCGGCGCAGGCTGCGCACGGCAGCAGCAGGCTGCGCGCGGCTCGGCGCGGGTTGCGCGCGGCAGCAGCGGGCTGCGCGCGGCTCGGCGCGGGCTGCGCGGGCTCGGTGCGGGCAGCGCGCGGCAGCAGCGGGCTGCGCGCGGCTCGGGACAGGCTGCGCGGGCTCTTTGCGGGCTGCGCAGGGCGACGCGCGTGCAGGAAGGTGCGCTCGGGCTAACAGCAGACAGTAGCCAGTAGGCAGCAAACAGCAGACAGTGTGCGTGACAGTCACAGCAGGGTCCTCGACATCAGACATTTTTGTCTGTTTGTCTTAGTTTCCAGACGATTTTTTTACAGTTAATCTGATTTTCCAGATTTCGATTTTGATTTCGTCTGATTGGTTAGAAATCATTTTGTAGTTTCATCTGATGCATCAGAATTGTATTTCCTGATTCATCTGAAACCGAATCACATTATAGCCTACAGTTTTCGAGCCCATCCTGCTCTGACATGTCAATCGAACCTATGATTGGTCGAAGGTGAGATTGGTCCTTGGTCGAACCTTCTGTGATTGGTGCTGCTCCACGTTCGCGTCCCTGTACGACCCTTTCTCATCGTGGACCTGTGCAGAGCAGAGCGAGCAGGCGGACTTCATCTAGCAGAGTCAACTAACTTTACAGAAAGGGCCCGAAACAAGATTTTACAGCAGTCCCATTTTGATTGGCCCGAAATTTCTGATGCATTAGACACAGAGAATCAAAATATCTGATGCGTCAGACGGGCCCTTCGGGCCCGTCTGACGCATCGGGTGCCCTCAAATCCTAGCGAGGACCCTGAGTCACAGTCACAGGCTCATTCGTGGGGTAGCGGTAGGTGGGCCCGAAAAAAAACGGTCCTACGGACCTACTGCTCTGAAACCATGTTAGAAACAAGGCCTCAAATATCAGGATAATTTATCCTGATTCTCCTGAATTCAGGATAGGTGTCGTGTCCCAGTCCTGGAAAAACAGCATAAGCGCGATAGTTATCCTGTAATTTCAGTATTAGTGTATTTTTGCGTGCTGTAAATTCAGTATAGGGCAGTAGGTTCAGCCCTGATGAGTCAGTATAGTGTTGAGAGTCGTCCTGAAGCGAGTACTGCGCCAATTTCGCCCGGGGCCTAGTGTACCCAACCACCGACCACATACAGCGTAAGTTACGCTCCGTAATTGTCGCCCTGACTTGGTTTCCTCTGCTCGCGCAGAACCGCGCCGCGCTCACTTTACACGAGGGGAAAGCACGGCCATCTTTGCTGTACGCTGGCATCACGTGCTTCCCTCCTAGCCTGTATACACTGTTTTCATCCACCCACACCCGCATGCAGACACAGCCAACAGAAGTTCACGCGCCACCATAGGGCAGACACACCTTTAACAAAGTGCACAGGATAAAATGAAATGTAGCACTGACGGGGCAGGATAATGTCACTTGTAGCACTGACCCTACAGCATACCCACCCTTGTTCAGTCCTGAAGTTTCAGGACAAAATAGGAATCCTGAAAAACGGCCCTGAGTCCACAGGGTACCCTCAAACGAATCTGAGGCCCTGGTTAGAAACTAAAGATAGGAATGGATGAACTAGCAGCATGCAGGAGTACAAGTAGTAAACCCTAATTGGGTTGTACCCCATATGGGCTACCCCACTACAGCCTAGACAATATATGCAGCATATATGTTTGACAAGGGCGGGGTCAGCGCGTTCATTTTTCAAAATTGTACTGTTCATCCGTCGTGGCGCAAAACGATTCCAATTGGTTCAGAGCGGTATTGAAGATAAACCGCATTAATGACGAAACGAGAGTGTACACGAACTGAAATGAAACTGCAGCGAACGCGCTGACCCCGCTACAGTAACAGTTGTGCAAAGCGGCTCCTCTCACCTCCCCATTGTACGTAGCCAATGTGTTTACCCAACATACCATAACCCCCCTATAAAAGACCCCTCTAAATCAAAGTCTAGGTATTCTATCTGGGACTTTCATTTTGCCATTTTTTCATTACGGTACGTGCAGTCTAATCACAGAGTCTGCCAGAAACATTATGGTTTGTGAAACATGGCGCAATAGAATGCACATTACCCGTAAATCACAGTGCATATTACACGATGCTGTCCAAATTCTATGCTGCCCCTGCAACCCAGTTGAGCGACCAAGTCGCATCGTTTAGCCGACGAATAAGCTCGAACTAAATCACATGAAGCAAAACCATTGATGTAGTTACACAGTAATGTAATTAATAATAAATCATGGCGGCCCATGGCGAGATGTAGTGAGCGAGTCGTCGCAGAGTGCATTGTGACAGTAAAGGAGATGGCCGTGGACCCGAAGAGCAGAGATGGTAGCAGGGGTGTCACGCAGGCAAGCACACAGAGCAAGTAGGCAAGGTGCGGCAAAGGAGACGGGAAGAGGCACAGGGGTGAGTGAGAGAATGTGACCCATGGAGAGGCATAAGCAAGTGAGTTGTCGCAGAGTGCATTGTGAGAGTATAGGTGCTTGACCCATTGTGATCCCATGAGTATAGGTGCTTGACCCCAGCCCGGGAGTGTTATGCAGGCAAGCACACAGACCAAGAAGCGAAGGTGCAGCAAAAAAAGGCAGGGAAGAGGCACAGGGGGTGAGATAAAAGGGGGGAGGGAGGAAGGAAGGTGGAACCAAGGAAGGTGGGGGGGAGGTGAAGGGGGAACCAGGGAAGAGAGACGACAATTTCTATAAGTTAAAGCAGCTCAGAGAACACCGACTTTCTCGTGTGTGATAAGTCGAGTTTTGAGTCGACTCGACATTTGTGTGAAAACTCGACTTATCACACACAATTTCTTCAAGCAGCTCAGGGAACACCGACTTCTCTAAGTCATGTTGTCCGTGGGAGAAGGGAGAATGGGAAAATGGGAGAGCAGCACTGGCTCCAGAGAAGAGGCGACAATACTGGGAGTGCAAGTGGGCCCCAGTTAGGTGCCATGAGAAGAGGCGACAGTGGTTTTGAGTCGACTCAAAAGTCACCCCAGAGAAGAGGCGACAATACTGGGAGTGTGCTTTACGTTAGACCGCCGCGGCAACTAAACTGAAGTATTAGGGAGAGAGAAGAAACAAGAACAATGTTCTTCACATGCAGTACGAAACGGACAACCAAAGCTGATGCCGCGTCGATACAAGCACAGCAGACGACAGTGGAGGACAGTGGAGGCACATTGCACACAAGGCAGGGGACAGTGGCGGCACATTGCACACAAGGCAGGGGACAGTGGAGGCACATTGCACTGCACTCGGTGAGAGTAAACGATGCTCCTTTTCAGCTTGCATTCTTGTGTAACCAACCAGGGTATGGTTACAACTTTGAACAGGGGCCATGCAAGCAAGCACCACAGAGGATCCGCGCTCATACAAAAATGATTTCTGAGTCGACTCAAAAGTCACTTGGGTATGGTTACAACTTTGAACAGGGTCATGCAACTGGTCTTGTGACATAATTCTCAGCGAGCTGCAAACTTAGTCAGGCTTAAAGCAAACAGTAGACAGTAAAAAACCCTCCTGTGACTTCTGAGTCGACTCAAAAGTCACTTGGGTATGGTTACAACTTTGAACAGGGTCCATGCACATACCACAAAGGATCCGCGCTCATACTTTGAACAGGGCCATGCAAGCACCACAAAGGATCCACGCTCATACAAAAAGGTATGGTTACAACTTTGAACAGGGGCCATGCATGTACCAGAAAGGATCCGCGCTCATAGCGAACATGAAGAAAACGCTCCTGAAGAAACTTGAAGAGAGGAATAGCAACGCGTTGCTGTGGTACGTGCGTGACCATTTACGTGGTTATACCACTGAACAGGGTCACGCACGTACCGTGTGTTTTTTGAGAATTCTCAAAAAACATACGTGCGTGACCATTTACATGGTTATACCACTGAACAGGGTCACGCACGCACCACAGAGGGACCAAAGCCGGCGGGGGGTAGGTGAGGTTTCACGGGATGACTCTCTGGTGGTAACCAGGTTACCATTCATTTGGGTAAACAAAAGACATCACCAGTGGCACATACGTACCACGGAGGGAGCAGAGCCGTCGGGGGGGTAGGAGAGGTTTCGGGGGATGGCTCTCTGATGGTCCCTCTTGTCAAAGTGCCATGGACCCACCTTGCCAGGCAGGTGGTTCCCCTGGGGGTGAAATCGGCGGGAGGAAGGATGGGAGGATATGAAAGTGTATGGGTGCAGTGCAGTGCAGGAAGGTGGGATTGTGAACCCATTGCTGTTTGTCAAAGTGCCACGGACCCGCCTTGCATGACAGGTGGTTTCCGTGAATGAGAGATTATGGGATCTTGGCATCACGACATCATGGCATCATGGCATCACATAAATGGCACCATGGCATCATGGGATCGTGGCATCGTGGAGTCATGGAATCATAAGAAGTACTTTCGACTTGCCTCAAACGTTTCACTGAGACAACTTTCGAAGCGCAAAATAAAATGTGAGAAATGGATGGGATCACGGGAGGACATGAAAGGCAGCGAGTCATTGAGTCGCCTAAAAGGTTTTGAGTTTAGAGGCACCTCAAACATCGTGAGAAATGGATGGGATCACGGGAGGACATGAAATGCAGTAATTCAGCCATCACACGCACAACCACGTGTGTGATACATCATGTTAATTGCATGCTTGAAATTAAACACTTAGGTGCTTGTAACGGTGTCCCCACCCATACCCATGTGTGCTTACATTGAGGTCATAGTCACAGCCATAGGTGTAGTGAATCATGGCAGGCAGTTGCATCATTACTACAAAAAAAGACAACCATTGGCCACCTGCTCTGCAAGTGCGTTCCCATACTCATTGCATTGTGACTACAAAGCAAATCAACTCTGTTGGAGTGTTCTTATACCCATGTGTGCTTACATTGAGGTCATAGTCACAGCCATAGGTATAGTGAATCATGTATGCGTCGCCCACTGATTTGTCCCAAGGAGGCTGTACGGAGGGAGGGAGGGGGATGGATGACAGAAGGACATGAAACAGAGACGGTATGGGAGGGGAGTGAAGGCATTCAGGTCATTGTGACAGCAATAGGTGTAGTGAATCATGTACGCGTCGCCCACTGTTTTGTCCCAAGGAGGCTGATTGAGAGGTACACAGTGATGGGATGGGATGGGAAAAAGACATTGACGTCATAGTAACAGGCATGGGTGTAGTGTAGTGAATCATGTACGCTTCACCCGCTGCTCTGTTCCAAGGAGGCTGAATGAGGGGCACACAGGGATGGGATGGGATGGGATGGGATGGGATGGGATGGCATTTAAAAAGACATTGACGTCATAGTAACAGGCATGGGTGTAGTGTAGTGAATCATGTACGCTTCACCCACTGATTTGTCCCAAGGAGGCTGTACGGAGGGAGGGGGATGGATGGTAGAAAGACTTGGGAGAGAGACGATGTGGGAGGGGAGTGAAGGCATTGAGGTCATAGTGACAGCCATAGGTGTAGTGAATCATGTATGCGTCACCGAATGATTTGCCCCAAGGAGGCTGGGATGGGATGGGATGGGATGGGATGGCCTGGGAAAGGGGCATTGACGTGCTCATCACAGCTCATTAAAGGGGCATTGGCAAAGGGGCTCAGCTCATCACCTCACCAGAAGACTTTTAAGTCGACTGAAAGTTAATTTCCACAGCTCGCCAGAACATCCAGTCCTACGTGTGTGTACCCCAGCAAGCATGGCTGATGCTGTGTTGCCACATGCAGTGCGCCTGTATACGCGTGCAACACCAGTTTTAGCGACGACAGGAGACCACCAACACCTCCCCACCTCACCTGGATCATTCAGTCCTTGCGGAGGACGTGCGTGTATACAAGCAAGCATTGCTCATACGACTTTTGAGGCGCCTCAAAAGAGGACGTGCGTGTATACAAGCAAGCATTGCTCATACGACTTTTGAGGCGCCTCAAAAGAGGACGTGCGTGTATACAAGCAAGCATTGCTCATACGACTTTTGAGGCGCCTCAAAAGAGGACGTGCGTGTATACAAGCAAGCATTGCTCATACGACTTTTGAGGCGCCTCAAAAGAGGACGTGCGTGTATACAAGCAAGCATTGCTCATACGACTTTTGAGGCGCCTCAAAAGAGGACGTGCGTGTATACAAGCAAGCATTGCTCATACGACTTTTGAGGCGCCTCAAAAGAGGACGTGCGTGTATACAAGCAAGCATTGCTCATACGACTTTTGAGGCGCCTCAAAAGAGGACGTGCGTGTATACAAGCAAGCATTGCTCATACGACTTTTGAGGCGCCTCAAAAGAGGACGTGCGTGTATACAAGCAAGCATTGCTCATACGACTTTTGAGGCGCCTCAAAAGAGGACGTGCGTGTATACAAGCAAGCATTGCTCATACGACTTTTGAGGCGCCTCAAAAGAGGACGTGCGTGTATACAAGCAAGCATTGCTCATACGACTTTTGAGGCGCCTCAAAAGAGGACGTGCGTGTATACAAGCAAGCATTGCTCATACGACTTTTGAGGCGCCTCAAAAGAGGACGTGCGTGTATACAAGCAAGCATTGCTCATACGACTTTTGAGGCGCCTCAAAAGAGGACGTGCGTGTATACAAGCAAGCATTGCTCATACGACTTTTGAGGCGCCTCAAAAGAGGACGTGCGTGTATACAAGCAAGCATTGCTCATACGACTTTTGAGGCGCCTCAAAAGAGGACGTGCGTGTATACAAGCAAGCATTGCTCATACGACTTTTGAGGCGCCTCAAAAGAGGACGTGCGTGTATACAAGCAAGCATTGCTCATACTGTGCCACATGCAGTGCGCCTGTATACCCATCACCACCTGCCCTGCCCCTAGCCAACAGCAGCCACCTAACAGGCTCACCAACTCACAGCCTCACCTGCTCCCTACCTCACGGGCTCACCTGGATCATCGTCCTTTTGAAGGATGTGCGTGTACCCCAGCATGCATGGCTGATGCTGTGTCGTGCATGTTTTTTGAGAATTCTCAAAAAACATACCTTGCAGTGTCGTGCCACATGCAGTGCGCCTGTATACCCCAAGACTACCCGCCCTTAGCAGCTGAGGGCGTGCGTGTAACCCAGCATGGCCGATGGCGTGCAGCTATACCCATGCAGTGTGCCCCTATACCCCTACACCACCGGCCCTTAGCCAAACGCAGTCACCATCGGCTCCCCACCTCACCTGGATCATCCAGTCCTTTCTGAGGAAGTGTGTGTACCCCAGAAGCATGGCTGATGCTGTGTTGCCACATGCAGTGTGCCCTTATACCCCAGAAGCATGGCTGATGCTGTGTTGCCACATGCAGTGTGCCCTTATACCCCAGAAGCATGGCTGATGCTGTGTTGTTACATGCAGTGTGCCCTTATACCCCAGAAGCATGGCTGATGCTGTGTTGTCACATGCAGTGTGCCCTTATACCCCAGAAGCATGGCTGATGCTGTGTTGTCACATGCAGTGTGCCCTTATACCCCAGAAGCATGGCTGATGCTGTGTTGTCACATGCAGTGTGCCCTTATACCCCAGAAGCATGGCTGATGCTGTGTTGTCACATGCAGTGTGCCCTTATACCCCAGAAGCATGGCTGATGCTGTGTTGTCACATGCAGTGTGCCCTTATACCCCAGCTCCTTAGCCACGAGCCGTCTCCACACCACCTTACCACCAAACCACCACCTCCCCACCTCACCTGGATCATCCAGTCCTTTCTGAGGAAGTGTGTGTAACCCAGCAAGCATGGCTGCTGCTGCTGGCAGTGGTGGCACACGGCAGTGAGCCTAAGCACCCAACCAACACCGCCTGCATTCTGCTCCCCACCTCACCTGGATCATCCAGTCCTTTCTGAGGATGTGTGTGTACCCCAGCATGGCTGATGCTGTTGCATAGCCACCCGTAGCACATGCAGTCATCACCAGCTCCCCAGCTAATCAGCTCACCAGCTAATCAGCTCACCAGCTAATCAGCTCCCCAGCTAATCAGCTCACCAGCCTCCCCAGCCTCCCCACCTCACCTGGATCATCCAGTCCTTTCTCAAGATGTGCGTGTACCCCAGCATGACGGATGCTGTAGCGGTGGCATAACAGCAATCATCACCAGCTGCCTATTTCACAAACCCACCTGGATCATCCAGTCCTTTCTCAGGATGTGCGTGTACCCCAGCATGGCTGATGCTGTGGCATAGCCGTACCTGTGGGGATTGGGGGCAGGGAAGGAGACAACACCACAAGCATGCATGAGTGCACGCGTGCATGGGTGCATGTATCCCAACATGGCTGATGCTGTGGCATAGCCGTACCTGTGGGGATAGGGATGGGGGGCAGGGGAAACACGACCCATGGCATGGCAGGGGAAACACGACCCATGGCAGGCGGGAAACGACCATAAGCATGGGTGCATAAATGAGTGTGGTTGTGTGTGTGTTTGTGTGTTTGTGTGTGTGTGTGTGTGTGTGTGTGTGTGTGTGTGTGTGTGTGTGTTTGTGTGTGTGTGTGTGTGTGTGTGCGTGCGTGCGTGTGTGTGTGTGTGTGTGTTTGTGTGTGTGTGTGTGTGTGTGTGTGTGTGCGTGCGTGTGTGTGTGTGTGTGTGTGTGTGTAAGTGTGCATGTGCACATGCGTGCATGTGTGTAAGTGCGCGTGTGAGCATGCGTGCATGTGTGTAAATGTGCATGTGAGCATGCGTGCATGTGTATAAGTGTGCATGAGTGCATGTGTGCATGTGTATAAGTGTGCATGAATGCATGTGTGTCATCCCCGTGTCATCTCCCCCTCCTCCCCTCCCCTTCTCCCCCCCATGTCATCCCCCTCTTCCTCTCTCCCTTCTCCCCCATCCTCTTTCCCTCATCCCATTCCATCCATTCACAAATCTCTCCAGCACCCATCCAAACTCCTTGTCAATTGCCGGGGCATGTTGGATATCCATGCCATGCTGCCCCATGCGCTACCCCATCCTAATACACCAACCTCTTTCTACCCCACCCCATCCCGACCCGACCCCACTCCGCCCATCCTTACATCTCCAGCACCCATCCTAATTCCTTGTCAACCTTCAAATCATTTTAGCTACATATTCTGCCCCATCCGAATTACCCTCCTCATAATACCCCATCCCACCGCATTCAAACCCACCCAAACCCACCCCACCCATCCTTACATCTCCAGCACCCATCCAAACTCCTTGTCAATCTCTGGGTCCTCCTTGAACTGCAGAGACACGTTGTGCCACAGGGGAGCGATTTTCAGCAAGTCTTTCTGGTGGGTGGTGGTGCAAATGGGTGGTGGAAAGGTAGGGGCAGGGGAGGATGGTGGAGAAGGGGGAAAGGCGCACATGACACGTCATGCCACAGGAGGCAATCTTGAGCAAATCTTTCTGGTGGGGGTTGGCGGTGGGTGGTGGGAGGGGAGGGGTGGGTGTCAGAGCGGAATGGAAAGAACAAGTAGGGCAACAGAACTGCAAAGGCTCGTTGTGCCACAGAGGAGAAAATCTTGAGCAGGAGTTTCTGGTTGGTTGGTGGCGGTGATAGTGGGAGGATGGGGAGGGAGGGAAGGGTAGAGAGGGGGGACGGGAGCATGGCATGGTTTAAGGGGAGCACATGACATGGGATGCGTGTCACAGGGGAGTGACTTTTGAGTGCCTCTCTCTCTAATGGACCTCTTTTTTCTTCTTTCTTTCTTTCTTCCTTCTTCCTTCCTTCCTTCCTTCTTCCTTCCTTTCCTTCCTTTCCTTCCTTCCTTCCTTCCTTCCTTCCTTCCTTCCTTCCTTCCTTCCTTCCTTCCTTCCTTCCTTCCTTCCTTCCTTCCTTCCTTCCTTCCTTCCTTCCTTCCTTCCTTCCTTCCTTCCTTCCTTCCTTCCTTCCTTCCTTCCTTCCTTCCTTCCTTCCTTCCTTCCTTCCTTCCTTCCTTCCTTCCTTCCTTCCTTCCTTCCTTCCTTCCTTCCTTCCTTCCTTCCTTCCTTCCTTCCTTCCTTCCTTCCTTCCTTCTTTCCTTTCCTTCCTTCCTTCCTTCCTTCCTACCTTCCGTCCTTCCTTCCTTCCTTCCTTCCTTCCTTCCTTCCTTCCTTCCTTCCTTCCTTCCTTCCTTCCTTCCTTCCTTCCTTCCTTCCTTCCTTCCTTCCTTCCTTCCTTCCTTCCTTCCTTCCTTCCTTCCTTCCTTCCTTCCTTCCTTCCTTCCTTCCTTCCTTCCTTCCTTCCTTCCTTCCTTCCTTCCTTCCTTCCTTCCTTCCTTCCTTCCTTCCTTCCTTCCTTCCTTCCTTCCTTTCCTCCCACGGTCCTTCCTTCCTTCCTTCCTTCCTTCCTTCCTTCCTTCCTTCCTTCCTTCCTTCCTTCCTTCCTTCCTTCCTTCCTTCCTTCCTTCCTTCCTTCCTTCCTTCCTTCCTTCCTTCCTTCATTCATTTCCTTCCTTCCTTTCTTTCTTCCTTCCTTCTTCCTTCCTTCCTTCTTCCTTTCTTTCCTTTTTCTTTCTTTTCTCTTTCTTTCTTTCTTTTCTTCTTTTCTTCCTAATAAGTTCACCTTCTTTAAAATGACGGGAGAGTTGCCGATTGGATCGATGTTGGTGATTGGCCCTTTCTCTGCTGGGTACCACCGCCTTAAGAACCCTGGAGGATGGAGAGGGGTGAAGGGAGTTGAATGCGGTGAAGGGCGGTGCAAAGGGACGATGAGGTGGTAGAGAACAGTCCTTCCTTCGCACGGTATCACCACCTCAAGAACCCGACCCGACCAGACCCGACCCGACCCGACCTGACCCAACCTGACCCGACCCGGCCTGTACTCACGCTCTTGGTCCTTGGGAACGATGTAGAAAAAGGGGAAGGCAGCAGGCAGCATGTCAGACGCGAGGTTGGGAATGGGTGTTTCAACTCGCAATGCAGAAGCAAAACAGGACATGAATGATTCGACTCACGCTCTCGGCCATTGGGCACGATTTTGAAGAATGGGAAGGGAGAACCCAGCGATGTGACAATCAAGCATGGGGAGTCGCAGTGACTCACGCTCTTGGTCCTTGGGAACGATACAGAAGAAGGGGAAGGCAGCAGGCAGCATATCAGAAGCGAGGTTGGGAATGGTGGCTCAACTCGCATTGCACAAACAGGGAACGGTATAGAAGAACGGGTGATTCAACTCACTCTCTTGGTCCTTGGGAACGATGTAGAAAAAGGGGAAGGGGAAAGGGAAGGGAGAACCCAGCGATGTGACAACCAAGCATGGGAGTGGCTGTAACTCACGCTCTTGGTCCTTGGGAACGATGTAGAAGAAGGGGAAGGCAGCAGGCAGCATGTCAGAAGCGAGGTTGGGAATGGGCTTCAGAATAATGTGGTCTGGCTCCGCCATCCACACGTACCTGCCGCGGGTCAGAGGCACATGGGGGGAGAGGGGAGCAGAGGAGAGCAGTGCAGACAGGACAGTCACACAGTGAGAGAATGGATAGCAGCGTGGACCAGGCAGCGAGCAGAAAGTCAGTCGCGAGGTTGGGAATGGGCTTCCGAATGATGTGGTCCGGTACTGCCATGCCATCCACACGTACCTGCCAGGGAGGTGGGGAACAAAGGGGATGGACACGTGGGGATAGCAGCATGACGTGAACAGCTGTCAAGTCAATGATATTGAGTCATTTCACGAATGGTGTGGTCTGGCTCGGCCATCCACACGTACCTGCACAGACTCGCGGGTAACCGCATGCACAGCAAAGAGGGAGCCACGTGTAACGAGGGCAACAAGTTCGTGAGAGTTGCAACCACTTTCACAAAGCGTAACCGTTCTCAAACCGTTCAATATAAACAGCTCAAAAACAGCCAGGCTTGCAAACATGGGCGTTTTCGAGCGTGCAACCAATTGGAATGACTCGTTCAAAGAATAAAAAACTATTACGTGCGTGCACTCACTCTTCCTCGACCTGCGCCTTCTGTTGCACTAAATGAACGGCCACAGTGATTCTTGAGTCGACTAAAAAGTGACTAATAAACCCAACACAGCAGAGCAGAAATAGATGCATGCACACGTGCACTCACTCTTCCTCGATCTGTGCTTTCTGTACCCACTGCACGAACGCCCACGGCCGATTCAGCACGACGTAGCCCTGTGAGGCGGACGGGGATGGGGGAGATGCGACGGAAGAGGGGGGGAGTGGAAGGGAGGTTGAGTCGAATCAAAAATCACTGCGTGAACACCCACAGGAGATTCGACATCTCGTGACCCTGCGAGCAGGGAAGGATGCGTCCGGGGATGCGGACGGAATGGGGGGATAAAGGCAAGGGAGGTTGAGTTGATTCACGAAGTACTGCAGAAATACCCGCGGAAGGTTCAACACCCTCCTTTGAGGTAACAATGTAAAAACGTGACAACACGACACGCCTCAAAGCCTGTTGCTGACCTTACCCATTCCCGGATGCAGCGATTCAACGACGACGGTTAAAATCTCGTCCATCAGGTCGTCCGGCTTTTTGGAAGTTTGGCGTCTCACACTTTAGAGGCATCTAAATGCCTTTTGCTGACCATTAAGGCGTCTAAATGCCTTTTGCTGACCATTAAGGCGTCTAAATGCCTTTTGCTGACCATTAAGGCGTCTAAATGCCTTTTGCTGACCATTAAGGCGTCTAAATGCCTTTTGCTGACCATTAAGGCGTCTAAATGCCTTTTGCTGACCATTAAGGCGTCTAAATGCCTTTTGCTGACCATTAAGGCATCTAAATGCCTTTTGCTGACCATTAAGGCATCTAAATGACCTTCGCTCACCTTATCCATTCCCAAAGGCAGCGGATCGACGACAAAGGTCGGAATCTCGTCCATCAGGTTGTCTGGCCTCTAACAATGTGAGACATCTCTCTCAAAGCCCCTCGCTCACCTTATCCATGCCCAGAGGCAGCGGGTCGACAACGAAGGTCGGAATCTCGTCCATCAGGTGATCCAGTTTCCAAAAAATCCCAACGTTCCCAGGTGTCTCAGAGTTTGCAACACGAAATTGTTCTGACCTTATCCATTCCCAGAGGCAGCGGGTCGACGACGAAGGTCGGAATCTCGTCCATCAGGTTGTCTCGCTTTCCCGAGTGCAGCACGCGCGTGAATCCCCCCATCTCCGATTCAGGCTCGTTCCGATACTTGTTATAGTAGAAGTACATGATTCGAGACTGCCACTTGGTGTACGGCGAGTCGTTACACGTCATCGCCGTGTGGAAATACCGCTTCTTTTTCTTCACACCAAAGCTCGAGGCTTCCGGCCGTTTCACCACTGCCGAACCTCCGTCCAAGCCTGAATCTGAACCTACAGATTCCGAACCAGTTTCGGGAAGAGGTTTTCCAAGAAGCGGTCGACCACCGCGGCGGAGGCGACTACTACTGAAGGCGGCTTTACCGAGGGTGCTTTTAGAGCGGATAGAGACTCGGTGACGGGTGGTGCTGAGGATCATACCGATGACATTGTACGAGGCGACGAAGGCGGAGATAGATATGATAACGAGGAACGGAATTGCGAAGCGAGACATCGCTGATAAGCTCTTAACGAGTGCGCCAATAGTGGATCTCCCACCAAAAGGTCGCTTGCTAAGGATGAGTCGCTTCAAACCGAAATCGACCGCGAAGGATCTACGTAATCCGGAACAAGGCTAATCATATCATAAGTGGCTTAATCTAATGGGAGGCATAACCGTTGCTCATTCAACGACAGCCGCGCAAAGGGATGAAGCTGGTTACGCAGGGTCAATGCGGAGCATAAGACATGATCAGTATCATATTTCGGGAGGAGAACGAAACGGAGCGATCAGGCAAACACGAAGTTGAGCTTTTCGTCCCGATAATGACTGAGATCGGAATCGGAAACCACGAGAGGGACAGGCGACGGGCGGTTGACGAAGGAATAGCACCTATTGCCTTTCACACACAGCCTCACAGCCTTGACGGCTACTACTAGGAGAAGCAATTACACATCTTCACCTCCTCCTGGATGATAAGACATGAATCCATAGCATATGGACAGCTTCGATTTGTTGGGTGGGATAGATATGGCTTGTGGTACTGAAGTTGGAGGATAACTAGGTAAGAGGTAAATCTGAAGCGGTTAGGAAAGCTGCTCTATGTTGCAGAGCGGTTTTCTTACGTTTCAGAACGGTGGGGTAGGGTTTTTTAGCAAACGAATTTCTCTCGACGGAAGATGTACGGAACGGTGGAGTCAGTACTCTAGTATCTGATCAAAAGGCAGGCTTGGTTGGGTGAGCCAGTGTGCTGAAAAGTTTGGGGTAAGTTTTTTCCATGGAATCATTTGCAACGGGGTTCGCATGAAGTTGCGAGTGTAACCCAGTTTCCGGATTGGGACTTCGCCAGAACTATTTCTGGTTACCATGCAGACCCCGCCGACGGCTCATCCCAGCACCGCTGGTTGCGACTTGTGCGAGCGATGTGCCCAGCGAAGGCAGGATACCCAAGACCTTGATCCACCAATCATCTCACGCAGTTTAGACAGTTCTCCACACATTGCCTAAGCGCTCTTCAACGTTTTGAAGCGCGACAAACCAGATCCTATCGTGGTGTGTGAATTGGAGAAAGAATGTGAGCAACGTTCCCTAAGGGCGTATAACAGCAGCATCAGACCATGACACGAGGTTTTGGTTACTGCACGACGCGCGCGTTCACGTCTTGTTGATCGCGTAGTATTACAGCGAGTGATCCGCTTGGCCTTGTGATTGTGAATCCGCGGAATCAACGCGTCGTTTTCCCTCCGCTGGTAATGTCAGCGACATCTGCGGAGCGACTTTCCCGTCGTCATTCTTCGTGAATGCGAAATGGCGGTGTCTGCAGAGCTGGTTACCAGCGTCGTCATTTGGCTGCTGCTCAATCTCCTTGTTCCCGTTATCTTCAAGGTACTTACCGGAAGTCTCAAGAGACTTCTTTCATTAGTGTCATCTCAAATGACTTCTGGAAGGGGTTGAACGTCTCATCTAACCCCTTCCTCTGCCCCCACCCCCGCCCCCCTTTCGGCCATTCTCAAATCCCCCCGACCCTTTTCCCTTTCCTCTCACTTGACCATCCCTCCCTCCAGTTCGCGGAATTCTGTCTCCGCTCATCCCCCCTACACTGGCGCTGGGCGAGCCTCAGTTGCGCCAATGCGCGAGTCCCCTCGTCCCCCTGCCCCCTTCCTTCCCTTCAGTGCGCGGAGTTCTCTCTCCGCGCATCCCCCCTCCACTGGCACTAACTGAGCGGAGGCCGGAGGAGGGGGAACCTTAGTTGCATCTTTTCTCAACCTCCCCCATCCCTTTCTCGCATCCCCCCAGTGCGCGGAGGTTTTGCTCCGCCCATCCCCCCTGCACTGGCGCTGGCTGCGCGGAGGCAGGAGGAGGGGAAGACTAAAGTGCGATGCGAAGTTCACTCTCCGCTCCTTCTCACTTGCACCAACACGCGAACTCCCCAACCCTTTTCCCACTTCCCCCCACCCCCTACTACCCTTCCCCCCACCCCTGCCCCTTGTCCATCCCCCAGTGCGCGAAGTTCTCTCTCAGCGCATCCCACCTACACTGGCGCTGGCTGCGCGGAGGCCGGAGGAGGGGAAGCCTCAGTTGCGCTCTCCAACTCTCTTCCCCAAATTCCCCCCAACTTTTCTCCCATTCCCGTCCCACCCTCTACCCCATCCCCTACCCCACCCCTTACCCCACCCCTTACCCACCCCTTACCCCGCCCCCTGCCCCTTGTCCATCCCCCCAGTGCGCGGAAATATCTCTCCGCGCATCCCCCCTGCACTGGCGCTGGCTGCGCGGAGGCTGGAGGAAGGGAAGCCTCAATTGCGCCCATGCCCCCGCCAGCCCTTCTCCCGTTCCCCCTCCCCTTGCCCCTTGTCCATCCCATCAGTGCGCAGAGGTTTTGCTCCGCGCATCCCCACTGCACTGGCGCTGGCTGCGCGGAGGCTGGAGGAGGGAAGCCTCAGTTGCGCTCTCCAACTCTTCTCCCCAAATTCCCCCAAACCCTTCTCCATTCCCGTCCTACCCCCTACCCCATCCCCTATCCCACCCCTTACCCCACCCCTTACCCACCCCTTACCCCGCCCCCTGCCCCTTGTCCATCCCCCCAGTGCGCGGAAATATCTCTCCGCGCATCCCCCCTGCACTGGCGCTGGCTGCGCGGAGGCTGGAGGAGGGGGAACCTCAGCTGCTTCTATTTCCATCCCCAATCTCTCCCATCCCTTTCTCCCATCTCCCCAGTGTGCGGAGTCCTTTTTCCGCGTTTCCCCCTACTGGCGCTGGCTGCGCGGAGGCAGGAGGGGGAGCCTCAAGCGGAAGCGGAGGGCAGGGGGAGGCGAATGTGATAATAAAGAGGTTGGCGGCGGCTTGGGTAGCAGCGGGGAGGAGGATGAGGGGGAGAGTGGTGGGAGAAGGGGAGGGGCGGCTGGTTGGGAGAGTAGGGGGAGAAGGGGAGATGCAGGGGATAACGATGGGAGAGCACAGGGCGAAAGGGAGGACGAAGGGGTTATCCTCACAAGTGGGGTTACATCCAGCATAGGGTAAGTCATGACCGTTCTTGTTGAGTATGTATATATCTATATGTTATATATATAAATACATAGGTGTATACGAATCATAGGGCATGCTGTATAATGCAAGGGTATAACATGCACAACAAATGATACTGCTAACAAGCAATGTGGGGGAATGCTGTTTACGTCTTCGTTCCCATTTCACCAGCTACATTCAGGTCCACACCACGTCTTCACTGGCTGGAGCGCCTTCACTGGCTGAACCTCCCTTTCGTCCCTCCCTCCCTCCCTCCCCCCCTCCCTCCCTCCCTCCCTCCCTCCCTCCCTCCCTCCCTCCCTCCCTCCTCCCTCCCTCCCTCCCTCCCTCCCTCCCTCCCTCCCTCCCATCACCAGCTACATTCAGGTCCACACCATGCGCTTCGACCCATGGCTGGAGCGCCTTTACAATGCTTAAAAGGCCCCGCAGCATTTTCTCTCAACAGAGCTGTCTTTTTACACCCACCCCCTCGCTCCCTCCCTCCCTCCCTCGCTCCCTCCCTCCCTCCCTCCCTCCCTCCCTCCCTCCCTCAGCATCTACCGCCCATCACCAGGTACATTCAGCTCCACACCACATACTTCAACCCCTGGCTGGAGCACCTTCGCATGCTAAAGGGCACCTTAGAGGTTCAACACCTCTTCCTCCGTCCCTTCTCTCTCCCTCCTTCCCTCCCTACCTACCGCCCATCACCAGCTACATTCAGCTCCACACCACGTGCTTCAACCCCTGGCTGGAGCGCCTTCGAATAAGAGGGTTACTTACAGTTTCCCATTCCATAATAACGCCCCCCTCCTCCCTCCCGCCCATCACCAGCTACATTCAGCTCCATACCACGTGTTTCAACCCATGGCTGGAGCGCCTTCGCATGCTCGAAGGTACCTCAGAGATTCAACCCCGCGTCCTCCATCTCTCCCTCCATTCTTCCTCTCTCTTCTCCCCCCCTCCCTCCCATCACCAGCTACATTCAGCTGCACACCACGTGCTTCAACCCTTTGCTGGAGCGTCTTCGCATGCTGCCTGCAAAATCAGCTACCAAGAGGTGAGTGGGTGGGCGCTGGGTGGCTTTTTTTGGGGGGGGGGAGAGCGGGGGGGGGGGGGGGAGAAGGGTGAGGGGGGGAGGGTTAGTTTGTTATTCGTGTGTTGTTTTTTTTCTTCTCTCGGTTTTGAATCTTCCTGTTTTCACCGGATTCTCTGTGTTCCAACACGTATCCAACAGAACAAAAAGACAAAAAAAATGTAATATTCATTCGCTTTTTCTTTGTTGCAGGTTGCTCCGTGCATGGTTCACATGGGGGGTCATTGCAGCATGCATCGCCTTCCTATTGGCCTCTCTGGTGCGTGCGTGCGTGCGTGCGTGCTAGTAAAACCCTCATAACATCCCATTCTCATTCGCACGTGCTAGCTAGGTACCTCGATTCAAAAGACTTTGTCATTGTTCTTAGGTGCCTTCGATTCATTTACTGCTGCACGCATTTCATTTCCTTAGTGCATCTTGGCCTCTCTGAATCGTGCATGAATCAAAGACAAATTCTTCGTGGTTCACATGCTTAGGTCTTCCCCTTCCTTCCTCCTCGTCCCTCTCCTCCGCTACCTCTCCACCTCATCTCAGCACCTAGAGGAGGAGCAGGCCATTCACACGCTCACCCATACTCTAACCGCACTCCTTCCCCTCCTCCCTCCTCAGGTTCTTCTATGGGACGGCCTTGTAGCGTCCCTCTCCTCCGTTACCTCACAGCCCCATCTCTCCCTTCCCTTCTTCCGTTCCCTCCCTCCCTTCCCTCCCCAGGTACTTCCATGGAATGGCCTTGTTGCTTCCCTCCTCGTCCCTCTCCTCCAATACCTCTCAGCCCCATAACAGACCCTGGAGAATGAGGAGAAGCATTTCATTCACATTCTCACCCACACTCCTCCTCTTCATTCTCCTTCCCTTCCCTCCCCAGGTTTTTCTATGGGACGGCCTTGTCGCTTCCCTCCTCGTCCCTCTCCTC